ATCCCACATTTCTCAGGACCTTTAGTCCCCAAGCAGGCCGACGGCTTCGGACACGACGGAGCACGTGCTTGGAGATCGCAGGACTGGGAGGGACGTGAGGAGATGCGGTCTTGTTTTCGGAAGGACTCTTCAACCACCCTCTTCTAGCCCTTGGGATGCCCTTCTGCGTGGAGTTTGCATGTTCTCCCTGTGTTGGCGTGGGTTTCCTGCCACATTCCAAAGACATACTGGGGGATAAATTGCGTTCTTTGCCTGCGATGGACTGGAGTCCTGCCCAGGATCACACCTGCTTGCTGTTGCTTGCAGGGATGGGCTCCGGCTCGCCCCTCGATCCTGTGCAGGATGAGAGGTTGGATGGGTAGAACCGTGTCCAAGAGCCTCACACAATTCACTGAGCCCAGGACTCCTGCTCAGAAGCGCACTTCGTTGTGCGGGCCCCTCGTGAGGCGCTGGAAACAACTGCGCCTTGAATGGCATGCTGGGGACAGAACAAGGCGAGGTGGTTTGAGGAAATTGACTGCTTGAGGATACTTATCTGGGAGGGATGTGGACCCAGGAGCCTCGTATAGGCGCCCCGGTTGTACGGCAGAGTGAGACAACAGGTGCCATCTACACAGCGTCTCTGCTAAGGTTTGGGGGAGACGTGACCCCGATCAGCGGTGTTGCCATTTCCTGTGCCTCGCCCCCTCCCCCCCTCCGCTGCACGAGAGCAGGGATCGCAGACTCGGACTCCTGTGATCCCACGCTGCGTCGTAGCGCTGCATAATTCAGCGTCGCGTGAGGAACGTCACCGGAACAAACGCACCGCTAAATCCAGACGTATTCGAGGTTCCTCTGAGAACTCGTTCGGGAGTTCTTGTTTTTTTGCCGAGCCAAGCGATAGGTGTCGCTACACTGCCACGTATCTTGGTCTCTCACCCAGCAAGTGTGCTCTTCCGTGGATATCCCACAATGCAACGCTGGATGCGAGAGGGCTGCGTGTGCCTCTGTGTGGGAGCTGAGGCTGTGCACGTGCCTCCAATGATGATGATAGGATTTTCTCAATGCCATGAGTATTTAACTCTTAATATTTGTCCCTCTTTAACAAGGCGGTAAGTGAATGACCACATGGAGGTGAGAAATGAAGGTATAACTCCAAACACCTTTGTTTGGATTGGTAATGTTACGGTAGACGTCCTGGTAGAGTAATTGACACGAGTAAGTGGTGATGGTGTAAATTAACGTTCCTCTGCCCTTGATGTAATTAGAGGCAAAGATCAGCTGCAAAACCAGTTGGGTTTGAGGTTTGGTGGGTTCAACAACTGAACGGTTACAGTGCAGACAGCAATCACACTTTCATCACGTTTTTCGCTGTATCTAAAAAAAAGGATCGACACATTTCCGCTCAATCTCGGAAGAACCGCAGAATTGCCTAAATGTTTATACACAAAGTTGAAGTTTGGACTCGGTTTTACACATCGGTGCGCTATTTCTGTGGAGAGCAAAATGCGACGACTTGGGAGGGCTTAAACCCGAGTTTTAAAACCTTGAGAAAAGTCACCAGGCAATCGACACTCTTTATGAAATGTGCTTGTTGCTAAATGTCTCGATAGGAAAAAAGCGGTGCTTCGCTGTTGTTGTAGAATACGTACATAGCATGAACACTATTCCTTTTTGCTATATCAGGGTATTTTTTTCGGTGTAAGATTGCAGCCTCGTACTGTGCACTTTTGAGGTATAAAGGTATAAAACAGGTGGCATGGCAGGTGCTGGTTGGGGTTGGCTTTATAAATGTTACATCTTAGAAATAACTAGAAAAGGGGCAGCAGAGTGGTGCAGTGCTTAAGACTCCTGCCTCACAGCACTGGGGTCCTGGTTTCAGTTTCTGGAGTTAATATATTCTCCCTGTAGTGTGTATATATATAATCATGGTGGTTAGCGTGCTTCTAGGCAAATTGGCCTTGGGGTGTGTGTGTGTGTGTGTGTTTGTGTCTATGTGTGCCCTGCAGTGGATTGGCATCCCATCCAGGTTGTATTCTGCCTTGTGCCTGTTGCCCGAGTTTGGCTAACCCGTGACCCTGATTTGGATAAGGTGGTTAGAAAATGGCTGGATGGAAGTAACTCGAGATCTTACAATGGAGAAGTGCACCTCTTCCATCTGTAGAATCAGCAGTCAAAACACAAACTATCAGACATGAGCGAAAATGAAGAATGGGGAGGCATTTCTTTACACAAAGGGTGGTGGGAGTGGGGAACAAGCCGTCCCCGCCATGTTGCCGAAGCCCCTGATCTGTTAGTTTCTACCAGGCAATTGGCTTCAAACAGGCTAGATAGGTTTCAAAACGGGAGGAGGACATTAGGTCTTGAAAAAGGGGAACTGCGATGCTATTTTTATATTTGATGTAGCGAACTTGTAACAGAACTCCAATCTGTTAACATTGACAGTTTCATGCTGCTTGGTTTGAATTTTGGCATGGGTAAATTTGCAGTCTGGTCAGTGGCTTATTTTCTTGGATCACTGCACTGTACCTCAGCTGCAGTGGGGTGCGTACCTGAATTCACTGTCTGAGTCTGGCTCTGCCTACCTACTGACTGCAGGAGCTAGTGAGAAACTCAGCAAAACATGATGGGCTCTCTGGCAAAAAACAATAGAAATGATGACCGATTATTGTAACTAGCGGAGTGCCACAGGGAGCAGTACTAGGACCACTGCTCCTCTTCATTTCTATCAGTGATCTAACTTCTGGAGCTGTCTGTGAACTAGTCAGGCTTGCACAAAATGCCCAAATAGGAGCATTTAGAGAAACAGTTCAAACTGTGGGAAAACTGTGGGGAAAAAACCTGGCAGATGAAGTGATGAAGTATAATGTTGACAAGTATTACATGCCTGTAGCAAAAGAAAATACAAATCCAAATATAATTGGAAAACCCGGGCGTTGTGGAGACTACTTGTAAAAAATCGCTCATGTGGGTATGATGTGACATCATTTACAGTATATCTTCTAGACAATGTATGAAAACACTAAAAGTCAGACACTAATGGGTTAATATAGTTAAACACATAGAATGTAAAGGCTGGCAAAACTATACAGTGCACAAGTAAGACCTCGCAGGTTAGACCGGTTTTCCTCACCGTGTTACAAAAAGGATATTGGTACTGTTGGTTTGGAATTAGTCCGACAGACGGATAAGTTCTCTCGTTTTAAAGACAGCAGAGGGATCCTAAATACGCTGAATGGTTTGGTGACGTCCATACTGAGTCAAAGCTGTGAAGTGTTGTTTGCTGTTGGTGTAAAGTAGTGTTGAAAGTAAAGTGTGCATCCAACGCAGGCAGCAAAACGGGCAGTTTTGACCAAGTGACCCGGTATTCAAGATCACTTTAAGGGAATTAAGCGCTACAGCGATTTATTTTCTCGTGTGTTTTGTACCTTAGAAAAAATTTTTTTTGCTAAATATCTTTGATTTTTTTTTTTTTTTTAATGGGCGAACACTCGTTCATTGTATTTCTGGGGGGCGGTGAAATAGAATTAGGACAGGCGGTGAAATCGGGGCGCTGCGGCGCGGCCGCCGGCCGGCAGAGGGCGCCCCACCGGTTTCCGCCAATGCGATTTCGGGGGCAGGGGCGCCATAACTGCTGGTCTCGGCTGGGGGAAGATGAGGAGACACGGCGCGGAGGACAACACGGTGCGTGTCCTCGGGGACGGACGGGTGTAGGTGTGCGCTGGGGGGGGGTGGGGGGAGTCTTGAATACCCCTGCGGGTAATTACTGCCTCCAGCTTTCTTCTGTGGCAGCCGCTCAGACAGGTACGGAGTCGCTGATCGAAGAAGTTGAACTTCCTGCTGAGGCGGCAGCAAGCGCAGACTCCACGTTGCCCGCTTTTCTCTTTTTTTTTTTTGACAGTTTAAACTTCGTGAGTCATTTATTTTGAATCTTTTTTTTTTTCCCCGGTTTTCAGTGGGTGGGTGTTTTCCTTTTAATCTAAACACGCCTGGCGTAGACGGGTTCGCCTACTTTTAGTTTTGTTTTTTTTTAAAGTAGGATCTTTCTCGTAAACATTCTCCCTCAACAGTCCAAACAAAACAACATCCGCGATCCCCTGATGCAATCGATGTAATCGTTTATTTTTTTAATTTAATTAGATTAATGTAAGAGATATCGGAGGTTATAGTTCTATTGGTTTGATTATTTCATTTTGTATGTGTGGTTGTACCGCACAGTGGACTCGAAACCACTGAGTTGTATCTTTACATTCGGCGTTTTTTTTTTTACTCTGAGCTGTCGCTTTTATTTTTAAAGACGACTCGCTCTGTGCCGTCTTCTTAACTGGGATCCGCCAATAGTAAGTGACATTTCCGTGTTAAAGCGTGAGAGATGCTTGCTCACGGTCATTTCCAAAGCTTTAGCAAAGGAAATATA